ATTTGAAGTAAACTGCTTGCATGCTTAATGATTTTCTGATATGTATAGGCCCGCAGTCATTTTAAATATGCTTTTAAAAGCTCTAGCAAATAGTCAAAATTATTTGTCACTTGCCAGTTGTGGCTTGTCATTCTGTCCTGATAGAGCTAAATGCAGGTTGGAAAAATGAACCATGTCCAAGATATGTAGTTTTTGCTCCTTAGGAGTTGCATCTGTGCTGCACTTTTATCGATTACCGTAGTAGAAACTTACCTTAGAGTAAATTCTTACCATTAAATAATGCTAATATTATCATAACTTGAATTGCATAGATTCATGGCTCCTGATAGATCATAAAAAAATTAATGAATTTTTTGGTTGTTTCTATGTAGCTACACTAATTGCGTGGGTGATAGTGCTTAACACCCACGCACAATAATATGAAACGTACACGCCCAAAAAGCTCTGCCTTGCCCAAGCACGTGGTCATGAACTGCTAAAACTGGTCAATTGGTTCTCGAATTGGTCATGCTCTTTGCCTGTTTTTGATGGAGAGAAGCAGTAGGAAGAGAGCAAGAGTGACTACACTCGAAGTAGTGAGAGAGAAAGAAGAAGAGGAAGGTGTAACGTTGAAGCTCAAGTCCTCTAAGACCTTAAAGAAAGACTCAAAGGATCCCATCCTGCTGCTTGAAGAAGCTTCCACAGCAGAAGAAGAGGAAAGCGTATTAGAAACACTTTTACTTCTTGAAGACTCTCTCTACTCTGGTATAGTATCTTCATTAGATGAGGCCCTGACTCTATTTAACCGAATATGGAAAACTCGTCAGAGTAATATCGAAATATGTAGCCTCCTCGTTAACTTGCTTTGTGGGGTTCTTCCGCTAGTCACGTCACTCTCACGTGACCAGCAGAACCAAATAGCATCACTCATTGATCATTGTAAGTTTGTAGTTAATTAATTGATATATTAATTAAATGTAATGAATATTAATTAGCTTCCAGTGATGTCAAGGCCCTAGTGTTAAAGTGTTGGGTGAAAGTGGCCAAGAAATTTTCATCAGAGATAAAAATATTAGATATTGTGATACATGTACATGTAGATCTCTCTCTACACATACATGTACATGTATATTAACATGTGTCATACCTCTTATATTTTATTTTATTAGTTTGTTACTCAATGTCTTAAAGAAACTGTTGAGGTACAGTACGTGTGAATTAATTTTTATAAAAAA